AAATTTTATTTTTCTTTTATAATCGTGTGCCTCAAACAGTTAACTCGCGACCAATCATCGATGGGTTAACAAGATATTGTCTTAGCCATTGTAAATGTTCAACTTTAGCGAGGTCTAGGTCTTTGAAGGGGATATTTAGATCTTGGTTTCGTCTTAAATTCTACTCACCCCTCGCGACACGTGCACACCCCTGGCGCGGTGCACTCCCCGTCGCGACAGCCCTGGCAAATGGGCACGCACTTCTTGGACTCGAGGGACGATGTCTCCGTGGAGGTTTGAAGCGCGTAGCCAGGTTTGCACCTGCACACCTGAGGCGCGACGCAGTCACCGTTGTTGCATCCCCCGGGACAAATGGGCCTGCACTCGCCGTTCACCTCTTCGTAGCGTAACTTGCAGGCGCACACGTTCGGCGAGAAGCAGTACGCGTCCTTCTGGCAGGTTTGCTCGCAGTAAGGCATGCAGACGCCCTCCTGAGGGAACCAGCCTGGCGGACAGGCGCAGACGTTCGGCGCCATGCACTTGCCACCGTAGCATCCCTGCTTGCATTGCGGATCGCAGCCTCCGGAGGTTGCGTTGCGCTCGTACCCGTCGCAGCAGTCCAGAATCGTGATCCATCCGTTTGTCTGAGCATCGTTCGGTCAATTTCGATCGTTTAGAAACTTGGTATTACCGAGGATTAAATCTTCGAGCCTGCTACATCTTCGTCTGGCCGAAATTTTGTACGAATATAGGAATATTCATTGGTTGCAAGTAAGCGTTTCATATTATCTGCTAATGCCTGTCTGGAATTAATTAGGTATACATCCTCGTTCATCAATATGCGGACACTTGCTACCTTCGATGAGTAATTAATATGAATAATTAACATGTATAATTAATATACGGTAAATTATTACTATACAACTTTTGTTTCTAAATTCTCTATTGGATGACTATTTACCAACATTTAATAATATTAAATGTTTCGAGTGCCTTATTCAATTTTACAGTGGAAAACATTTACTAAAAACATTTATGACGAAGTATTACAAAATAAACGAGATAACGTTACTTCGGATACGGTGAAGAAATAAATAATATCCAAGTTTGGTAAAAGAAATTTTAACATCGTCTAGTTATCTCCATAGATTTTCATTATTATTAATGTGATATAAAAAACAAACTATTAATAAAGTATATTCGCTAATGCAACATAAATGATACAATTGATATTAATAGATTCGCAACTTTGATTAGATATTTATTTCTATTAAGAGAGTGTCCACATTCTGAACGGGAGTGTACGTTCCTTGAAAAACAACATTCTTCGAGCGTAAGTCACCAACAAGTTTAAATCTTGACACCAGATGGACATCGGCAGATAATATCATTCGTTTACGTGTAATCAACGAATAACTGCACGTGATACAGGCTCGAAGGTTCCCTTGCCGAAAGAAGCATTAGATTCGAACGCTCGTATCTCTACTTCGACGAATGATTCAATTATACGTAATTACCTCTTCGTCCCCGTTCGTCGATGGAAGAGTATTGCGAGGGAATTGCCCCGTGGAGTTCAGAGCCAGCGCATCTGCGTAACTGAAACAGCGCGTACATAGCGTGAAAACAAGGGTGAACTCGTGAGCTCACGTTGCCGCGATAACCGCAGGCGCAAAGGTCATGCATCGCGACACGATCCTCGTTCCTCGGATGCTGCGTTTCGCTCTATCGCAATTAGGGTTACCAACCGTTTCGCGAGTAGTCTCATTCGCGCCGTGAGCGAGTTGCCGCTGAACGATGGGCACTCGTCTTGATTTCAGGAGGATACTACGCCAGAATATCTTTGTAGATTGCGTAGAATCGATTGAATGAAGTTCTGCGTTCGAGATTTATCTGCACGCGTCAAAACGCGATTAAGATTTTGAAAGGCAGTCTACGGATATCGATGGCTACTTTTCACAATTGCTACACCGTATTAATTTCATAATGGGCTATGCCCGTATATATTGAAATAAATAAATAAATAAATAAATAAATAAATAAATAATAAAGCTCGAAGAAAGTTAACCCTTCGTACTCTTGAGACCGGCTGAATATTCCAGGCACCTAGCGGTGTCCTAATACGAGTGATAAATTAAATATAACTAGTCCCATAAGTACCCCTTCTTTCTATCGAAGAAATTTATGTAAATAGATTTGATGTTTCCAAATAAATGCTTCGATATAAATATGCATACGAATAAACTTTATACGCGTAAGTTTGTAACGAGAAATTTCATTGGGAACATCGGACCTATCATTTTATTTAACACGTTCACGCCGGCGTGTACCACCGATGGTTCACGCTCGTGTATCTATCAGAATCGCAAATAGCAGCGCCGCCGTAAACGCGTTAAATCAATTTCTTCAACAGACATAGATAGTACTGATTGTATATTTCCATCGAACTACTTTAGTTTGACAAACACGAATTTCAAGTACCACCTACCAAGATCTTTTCCCAAGATTTTTCGGTGGTGAAACTTTACAAGTAAAAAAGGAAAACTGTGATAAACTCTGTCTCCATCTTTCCCGATAGTGTCGCGAAGCATCCAGAGGGAACGCTGTCTAAATATTTACATTCAGCCGCGGCTGGACACGTGGGAACGTGGCTTTACTCACGGAATGGTCTTGTAGCAGAGTCCAGATTGTACGGTGCTGTTGACAGCGAGGTTCTGATTCGGTCGACCACCTTTGACACCTTGCTGGTGACGGTGCCCGCCTTTGACGCCTTCGATCGCGAAAGTGTCGGCGGCCAACAGCGGTAAAACGACCGCGAGGGCTATTATCAGCGATCCGCGCATGTTGAACGTGCCAGTGCAAACGAACGACTGGTTTCTTATTTTCGTGGCGCGCGCGATGACATCTGTACCGATAACACCGACGAGCCGGGGTCACCCAGTTAGCATCTTCGCGATTCGGCTGCGTAGTTGCGTTCGCAGAAATGTTTATGGAGCAGCCCCGTCGGCTTGTGTCGAAATTGACCGAGTTCATAGAAGTCGATACGTACAACGTCACTGCTGCTTCCCTAACGCGCCTTGCGCTCATTTTCCGCGATCTGGCTTCCCGGAATCCACGAACGGAAGGAAATACCATGTACGGGGCATTTCAGATAAAAAGAAATGTGTTGGTCGAATTGGAAAGTCCTCGTCAGTTGTTCGAACGATTTACTCGTGTCGTAAGGTCGAGGTAACGTATATATATTAGGTTGTCCGAAAAGTTTCTTTCGCTTTATTAATAAGTGATACATGCACAATAGTTTATGTTTTATGTTACATTACTGAATTGTGCACGATTCATTTTGCTCCGTTACTGTTACAACATGAATATCTATGAAATTAGATTGTCTATTTATATAAACACGAGCACATCAAATAATTGAGCGCAACTCGCGAAAGAAACATTCGGGACAACCTAATGCTTGAGCACGTATGTACGCACGCACGTTTGTATGTATGTTGTATGTATATATACAGAGTGTCGAAAAATTGTTGGAGTTCCTTGAAAGGGTTGGTGATTTGGAACAACTTTTTCCTGAACGAAGATGTTGTCCGAGGCTTCGTTAAGGAGATATTAACAAAAAACCCCGACCAATCGGAGCGCGAGTATGTCGTTGGCGGCTAGGCTCCGATTGGTCGGGGTTTTCTGTTGATATCTCCTTAACGAAAAAGTTGTTCCAAATCACCACCCCTTTCAAGGAACTCCACCATTTTCGGGACACCCTGTGCAGATTAATTATGGGAGACTCTAGTTAAAAATATCTTTACGGCCTCTTAACTTGTTTCTCGAGTTTCAGCTATTACCGTACTTGGACGATCCTTAATCGCAGCCTGTGCTAGTATAACTCATTCTAATGAACTGCACGCGATTCTCGATAGATCCTTGTTTTCCTTAATGGGAGATTACCAAGTCAATCTCATGTTAATGTCTCGAGTAATCGGTCGTATGAATTATTGGAAAAAGTTCTATTAGAAGTAGATGCATCCAGACTCGTTCGCTGCTATTTCTATACGAGCCGAGGACACCGGGCATCGATTTCATAAAAATCCGTTTGTAATTAAACGCTAGTAGCTAATCGCGCGCAAGGGGCTCGACGCGACGTCTCGAAAATAAGAAAACAAGAGGCCGCTGATAGGAACGTCGACGCTTGGTTTGATCTCTCCACCGGCTTGATAGGTGTCCCGGCAGTCTCGTCGTCAAGTGTGCTGGAAACGGCAGATAGGTTTCGTGGGTTTGGCTCGCGCATTGACAGTTTTACGTAATCCGTCGATATCGCCGCCTCGCGAAGGATGCTGTGCTGCGCGCGGTAAAGCGTCGCGGCGAGGATCCCTGAAGCGCGATGGCCACTTCGTTGTCCTATTTTTAAACTACGATAAGCTGGATGCACCGAGCTCGCAGAAATGTTGTATGCCAACATAACCTTTGTATTTCCTTGTAGTATCTGCGCCTTCCATACCCAACAATAAGGAGTCAAATAAGAATACGAAACGTAGGGTACGGGATTGGTCGCGTAGGTCAAGTACAGTCTTGTGGATCCGTGGGTTCGAATCCCCGTGTTTTATTTTTCGTTTAGACTCCTACATCCTTTAGTTAAGATAACTCTGGCTTCTTCTCATCCTCCGTCAAACTCCAGCAGCAAACATTCCAAATTTCTTCTCTTCGATAACTGATGATTTCATCCTGACCAGTCATCTCGGACACCGCGATCTCGCTACCCCTCCTCTTTCGACCAGTAAATTAAAGATAATTCCTAGCCTTCCATTTTCTATCTCTTCCGAACCTATAAAGCTCGCTACTTTTCCCTTCGACGAGAGAATTATCCGAGCCGTCTCAACACGAGGACCTATAGTTCCACGAGTATAGCTTTGTTAACTTCGTTCAATTTCGTTCGACGTTGTACTTGTTAAATGATAATAAAGTAACGACGCAGAGTAGCTGACTTGTCCTCTCGCGGAGAGTACAGAGTGAATCGCAAGATAGATCACGCGCGGATCGGCCTCGGCGATTGATCGGGATTAACGCGTCGAGGATAGAACGGTTACAGAGCTTTTTACAAGGAGGAATTGAGGCGTTACAGAAGATCAGTCTGGGTTAGATTAGTTGGAGGATGTTGTTTTCAATTGTCGACGATGATGACTAAATTTCTAATGCTTTCGCTGTCTGGTCCGTACGACTTGGAGCCGAGAAGAAGATACGTATCAAAGCGATTAGTCTCCAGACAAATTGCTTAGCCTAGATAGCGAGCGATCAAGATTAAAGTGTTTGAGTCGTGATCTCTTGGTTATCTAGAAAAATATACGTATATGTTTAGGAATCTGGAAAAAAATGTTTCTTCGCATAGGTCACGTTATTAGGAATGCAATTGGTCTACGCAAAAGGACAATGAAGGATCTTGTTTATAATGTAAATTATATTTGGGGAGCCGAAAAGTAATCAAAATTTTGTCAACATATATTTATTAAAGAAATTTTAGATACCAATCAACAAAATAATTTGTTGATTCATTTTCTAACACTTTTTGCCAACGTAAAGGCAGTTGTTCGATTTCCTTCGATTTTTCATTGAGAAACTTTTCCAAGTCGAAGACGTTTTGATTACTTTTCGGTCCCACTAATAGAGACATGTGGTACAGATTTATTTTAATAATTAATCGATCACATTATTAAACAGCGAGAGGGTTGATCGCACAGCGCGATCGATTAATCAGTCCAGAATTATTTATGGACGCATCTAGATGCACGCAATTCGTTATCGTCGCGAAGTAGGTTCGCTGGCGTGCAAACAACGCGCGATTATCATCGAGCGTTATTCTAATTACGCGCTATCGACGTCTACTTTTTCGTTCTTCTTCTAATCCGCGATGAAAGCGCAGCGTCAGTCGAAATTCATCGCGAATTTATATTATTATCGATGATCTCAGCCTCTGAGCGCAAACTTCAAACGGAAGTGTAAATAGGACCGTTCCGAGTGTGTAACGATTAACGAGATATGATTAACTGATTAACGAAACATCGGGGCTACGCGAGATTATAAATTACCGATTTATGCAATCACTGGCCTCTCGTCTTTGGTATTTCCTAAGCCTAACGATAGAAATTCATTATGAAAACAAGTTGAACGTACCACGATGGGAAGAAATCGAATCCTAAACTAGTAATATTCTTGTACAAAAATTGCAATTCCTTGTTCGTAGTTCACACACGAATTTTATAAAAGTATTGTTTCACGTATTGGTTCTTGGCGTTTGTGGATGAAACATTCGAATGGGAAGGAGTAGAAAATTCAGGAAAATCTCTGTTCACGCGAACGGAGGTCCAAGAAAAATCTGTGGATGAACAGTTCGAATAGGAAGGAGTGGAAAATTCAGAAAAATCTCTGTTCACGCGAACGGAGGTCCAAGAAAGATCTATGAATGAACAGTTTGAATAGGAAGGAGTGGAAAATTCAGGAAAATCTCTGCTCGCGCGAACGGAGGTCCAAGAAAAATCTGTGGATGAAAAGTTTGAATAGGAAGGACTGGAAAATTCAGGAAAATCTCTGTTCACGCGAACGGAGGTCTAAGAAAGATCTATGAATGAACAGTTTGAATAGGAAGGAGTGGAAAATTCAGGAAAATCTCTGCTCACGCGAACGGAGGTCCAAGAAAGATCTATGAATGAACAGTTTGAATAGGAAGGAGTGGAAAATTCAGGAAAATCTCTGTTCACGCGAACGGAGGTCCAAGAAAGATCTACGAATGAACAGTTCGAATAGGAATGAGTGGAAAATTCAGAGAAATCTCTGTTCACGCAAAGGGAGGCCCGAGGACAAGTCGTCGCTGTACACGCCTCGACGGATAATATAATCGCGACGCCTGGCAGCGATTGGCGCCGCTGGCGATGCCGTTTTTCTGCCCGGCCGAGGACCGATCGCAGTCACGTTCAGCCTTGCACGCTAGACGAGTCCGCGTAAGGTCGGAAACCGGTCCGATCGGATTTTTCTTGGCCCGTAGACGAATCGGCTCTTTCACATCCGCCTCCGGAATTGCACGCGAGAGCGTGACTCTAACAATGGCACGCGAACGCCTCGGGCGCGACAGTTCTTGCTCGCTTTCTTCCGCAAAACCGTGGAACGTGTGGTAAGACTCCGAACGGGACTCGACGGGCTCCTTTTTCCTCGATTAACCCCCTGCTGCGTCGATTCAATCTTTATCTTATTATTCACGGCTTATTTATTCACGAATAACGCGTATTCGTGAATTAATAAGCGTTCAAGTTGAACAGTAGAAGACTGGATCTCTCGTTGAAGCTCTTATCTCTATATATAAAAACATCGTGAGCAAATTGGTAGTCGTAGGCGCGACATTTTCACCCCGAATTCAAATCTTCGAACTATAACATAGTACCGATCACGCGTCGTTTCCATTGTTCGTGCTTCATCAGCTCGAGCGACCGTCGACTCGAGCCGATATCAGCTTGGCGATTTTAGAATAGTCAGCAAGGGACTACTGTACCAACGCCATCGATTTTACTTTCTGGCTGTTTGGGTAGATCGTGTATTCCGATCACGAGTCCTTGCGGGATCTGAGAGGGCTCGATTGCAGTGGAATTTCGTCGTAGATGTGTTCCCCGTTCGCGTCCAAGTCGGGTTGCAGGCGAATCAGCGTCGCTGGCGGATGGTCGTAGTGGTCGTCTTGCAGAAAATCTAGAAAACGGGACGTGGAAAATGTATAGCGTTCGAAATTGGTCGGTTTCGATACTCGTTCGAAAAGGAGAATTATCATACGGGGTTACTTAACGTTTTGAACGCCACGTCTGAATTTTCCTCTAAACAACCGAACAAATTAATTCTAAAGATGAGAAATTAAAGAAAATAAATTTTCATAGTATTTGTGAATTCGACGAGGTTGCAAAAATAAATACAAGTTTAAATTCAATACAAATAAGTTTCGATCATATAGAAACGAAGTGATAGGCTCACATGTTTTACAAATATAAGTCAGCCAGTCAACGTGTTAAAAGAGCACGCCTCCCTCTTCCGCTATCGGTTCTAATTTACTTTGGTGCGAGCGTTAGTTGGCGTAGTTAAGACAAGGATGCGTTTTAATTAAGAAACTTGTACGGAGATGCACGGATAGCTTTCCAACTCTCGTTTTCCGTACCGTTAACGATAACGCGAGGATTTCGCTTACCACGCAGATTGCCGGAAATACGAAGACCGATGGTGGCAGCTCCGTTGGCGTAGTTGCACGAAGGGTCGATGCCAGCGACAGTCAGCGTCATTCCTTGCTCTGGGGACGACGTAAACAGAGGACTCACTCGAACAGGGCTTTCTGCAAGTGCAATTAAGGAAATGTAGGGCCTAACTTGACACTCTTGGAGTCTATTAACGCCGCGATTCTCTGGTTCGAGATCAACCTCGAGGATCCAAAAATAAATTATTATTTATATGCTGAAGAGGATCCGCAACATTCGAGGAGGTCAAAAGCATTCCAATGAAGGTTGTTTGGACCGTCTGATCGTAAAATATCGACACTCGACTATCAACGACACAGAACTATCGACGAGAGGAAGTTACGGCGGAGCCCGCAGAGCCCATTGAATTATGGCGTTCGACTTGGCTACCATCTAAGTTTGAGAAACACTGTCTCATAGAGCGAAACACTTCCCTCGAGGGAAAAAGGAAAACCCGTCACGGGAGAACATTCTAATCCTCTGCGACTGATCCAACACCTAGGCTGTCCGGAGGGTTCAAGATGGCCAACGTGATAGGATTACGCGAACGTAAACGAGGTCAAGGATAAAGGGATCTTCAGCAATGAACCAGAAAAGAAGATCTAACGAAAGAATCGCGTACTCACGGGGAACAGCGCTAGCGACTATCGACGAGATTCTCGCCCGTGATTCGGTTTCCTGGCTCTTCGTCTTCTCCACGTCGTAGATCGACAGCCTGGCCGTTTCGAACAGCTTCGAGCGCATATGGAGTACCATGGCGACGGCCAACGAGGTCAGGCCCAGGGACACGATCGAGGCTACCACGATTAGAGCAACGTCCAGGGGGATAGGAGTCGGCTGAACCTCGTCTGCTCGAAATAAACAGCTACGGATTAGGCTTGGGGGCAATTTTACCTTGCATCTCTTCGGTAGTTGAGACTTTCGTAGGCTGACTTTGGTCAAAATAAAAAAAAATCCTCCAGCGATACTCGGGATAAGTATCATAATCTACTCGGAAGTCAAAAGAGAATTAAATCTACACGAATGAGTTTTTAAAGGGCAACTACAGTCCGTACCGTGAATATTCGTACCATATTCGTACATTTGTCTATTAGGTAGACTGGAAAGTGATGTCGTTTCTTTTATATTAAATTCAAACACATTTCTAATAAATTTCTATTTTTAATCAATTGCGTAATCGCTCTCGTTATCAACAGCGTTTTGAGTGGACCGCGGATATTTTATTAGTGTGGAAATTTTGTAAACCAAATCGGTAAATGAACGAGCTAATGATCGTTAAACAAGTATTTAAAATTGCAAAAACGACATTACTTTCCAGTCCACCAAATAAATCAAATGATAGCTGTAATGTTTTCAAATAAATTTTTTATTGTAAGTGTATAAACGTGTAAAGTAAATTTGTGTACATATGCATAATGAAGCATTTATTTGAAAATATTAAGCCTGTCACTTAATTCAGAGTTCTTCGATAAACGTAGAGAGTAGGAATACTTATTGGACTGACTGTGTATGACTTCAGCGTTATAACATTATAGAATTATCCACCGTCTGGGGAGTTTGAGTGTCTTCGTTACCTTTGTGAACGTTCTTGGCATAATTCGTTTCGAGCGGAGGAACGACGCGCAGAGGAACGTCCTCGTCGACGTGTCTCAGGAAGGGGTTTTTCATTGGGAATTTCCCTCGTTCCTTTTCCAAGTTCCTTCTCCGTTCTGGAACGGAAACTAAAACGATCACGGGCCTGGCGGTGCTAGAGTTCCCATCTTCGCGAGCCTGTGTCCTAGTTTTCGGACGATCCGGTGTCGAAGCGGTGGTAGTTTCCGGGCTGGTTGTTTCAGAAGGATTATCCGTCGTTGATACGGTCTCGAGGCTGACTGCAATTGGAAACATTCAATTACCTATCGAAGAAATCGGACGAATAATCATTCAAAGGAGATTGGGATCTACGTTATTCGAATACCACACTATTCGAGCAATTCTCTTAGCCGAACGGAGGACATTGTGGATGTTTCATCTCAAGCACTCATGCGTAATCGACTTCGGTTAATTTTAGAGAGATATCAAACTAGATTGTATCATTCGAGCGAACCAAAAGTTCGTGGTTTTTTTACGTTGTTTCAGTTTGTGCAATTTCTTCGAGTCATTAAAATTACTTCGTATGCAAGCGTTATATATCATTTTGTAGCTTTTCGAAAGCCCTTTTATATTAAATTTTTAGCTGCATTAATTTAATTTTAATTAAACATTAGTTTAACTTTTGTTCGTTTTAATAAAATCGTGGAAAATTTTGAGATTCGAGTACTTTTACGTCGCTACTGTAAGCAAGAGTTTTCGAGCTACCGAATATAATATTTTCTTTGGTGCTTCAGTAGCTTCAAACTCTTGCTTCCAGTAGTGACGTAAAAGTACTCGACTCCTCAAATTTTCAATGAATTCAATGAAACGAGAACAAAATTTAAACGATCAATAAACTAATCTAGTTAATAATTAAATATGAAAGAGCTTTCCGAAAGCTACAAAAATGATATATAACACTTGCACATAAAGTAATTTTAACGACTGAACAAAATTACGCAAATTGAAACAACGTAAAAAAAAAACGCACGAATTTTTGGTCCACCTTAAAATTTAAGCCACTACCGTCTCGCGATCAGGACGACAACGATCGTTCCAAGATCGTTGCGTAAACGTCAGCCGCAATGGTTACAGTTTATTTAAATGCACTTCGTCGCAGCTTCCACGAATGCACTGTTTACCATCGAATTACGTATTCAGGATCGCGACTTTCGACCAACGGTTGCATCGCGCGAACAAATATTTCACTTGGAACGTTTCTTTTCGGGTTATTACCTTCCGTCGTGATTTCCGTCGTCTCTGGAATCTGCGAGGATTTTCCGCTGGCAGGGATGATCGTCTCGTTGGCCAAACATCGACCAGTCTCGTGGTCGCACTTATTTGACACTGTCTCGCAGTTGCAGCGAGTCGCGTACTCTGGGTTCTGGTGATCGTCGAGACACGACTCGTCGCACCTGGAGCAAACACTGTAATTATCCGCGAGACGAATGCTCGGGGCTCGATTATCGGAGCGCTTGTGCGTGCGATCAACAGGTTGCGCTGTGTTTAGTAAACATTACGTAATTCACGACACGCCAGATACGCGGAAATTGAGGAAAGTCGAAGGAAGAACAGAAGAGGGTTTCCACTTGTTTAGTTTAGAGATAAAGATAATCGAGATTTTGTTAAAAGAGGATTGAGATCGTTATGCCGAAGGCGGATCGCACACGGCGCAAACGAACCAGTATCAAACCACTCTGAAACTACAGTAGTAGTTGCATGCGACCGTGGATCTAGGTAAAACAAAGAGTGCAAACGGTTTGCAACGCTAATTTCAAATCGGTTGCGCCAGTGTGCGATCGGCCGAAGAGTCCATGCTCTTTCCAATGATGCAGGTTTTAGGATTCCTTTGAGCAGCGCTTCTATCGTTTCTCGAGAGAAATCTATGCGTTACAAGTCATAAACTTACGTTTGTCTAAGTAGACCTGGCGCGCTCTGGGTGCAGTCGCATTTCTCTTTGCATTGCGAGCCCCATGTGCCTGCTGGACACGCTACAAACAGAACAAGGTTCGAACAAATCTTTACTGTAGGTGTAGATCGTGGACGCGTGCTTTGACTATTTGTCAGGGAGACCAAGGGTGCCGAGAACGAAAGAATAAGTAGAAGGGTAACGTCGAGCCGCCTATTTCGGAATCGTAACGAGCGTTCGCGTGAAAATTATTCGCCCGTTTGCGATCGTAGGAAGGCCGGTCTGTTTCATCGAGCGTGAAATACATCCGCTGCGGAGTTTCGTACTTTGCACGCTTCAAGGTCCGCGAGAGGCTTCTGTTTGGACGCAGAAACGAGCCCGCTGCGTTCGCGATCGATCGCTACGACACCCTTTCGATCGGGCTCGAGATCCTAATTTATCGGATATCAAAAATCTTTTGTATCTTGCGGTTTACACGAAAATAGGACGAGTTCAACCCTTTGCACTCGAGAGGTGACTCTACCAACAATAATGTTTATTTAGGTTTCATTTCTTTGGAACTCAAAGTGTCAATAAAATGATTATCAGTGCAGTAAAATCTGAAATTAGTTTGCGATTACGAATCCGGCTACATGTTCAACCTAAGCTTAGCTTTCGAGTTACTGGTAGATACCAGAAAGAAAGGCCTCGAGTGCGAAGGGTTAAGTCACGATTTCGCTGCTTTTTAAATAGCTGACACAGTACAGACTCGCGAAGTTTTTATCTCTGCTAAACGTACAGGCATCAATTTTTGTGTTTTAATTGCGAAGGACGTGGAATGGAGGATATTCCTACTTCTCGGAAGTAGAATTCGATGAAAGAATTTTGTAGAAGGATGTGCTTACCAGCGGTGCAGTTGTCTCCTCGGTACCCAGGATTACATCGACACTCGTTCGGCGAGACGCAGACTCCTGAGAGGCAGTTTTCGCAAAACGGCACACACCTGATGCCAATCTCGTCGTCGCTGGATGAGATCATTTTGTAGCCTTCGCAGCACTCGTTCACGCTCCTAGTCTTCGTCTCGGTCTGGAAAATATGGGCCAGGATCTTCAAAAATTTAGGCTGGAGTCGCTGGGGAATTAACCCTTTGCACTCGAGGCCTTTTTTCTGGTATCTATCAGCAACTCGAGACGCTTTCTTAGCATCTTATTGTCACGAATGCTAAGCTTAGATTCACTTCGAAAATCAGATCTCTAATTTGAGATTTGAAAGTCAGGTCACCTTTGTCTCAACGACAATCATTTTATCGGCACTTCGAGTTCCAAACAAATGAAACCTGAAGAAAACTGAGAGTCACCTCTCGAGTGCAAAGGGTTACGTATGACCGTTCGTACCGCCTCTTTCGCTCTTCGAAAGGAAAACGTGCGAAATATTATTTAACGATCTGTCTTTATGCAAAGTTTCATGAAAATGGACGCGCTACGGTCGGACGAGGTTCCTCGTTAATCTAAATGGCACGGTAGGCTCGTATTCAATAAACCAACGAGCGTTCCAAGTTTCCAAACAGCAGGCCAGTTAAGGAAACGATCATGGAACAAAAAGTAGGCCGTCTAAGCCATCGAACTGGCGCGTTTTGGCACCGACTCTCGCGATACTTTGGAGAGTATCCCACTTTCCTCGCGGGGCCACACGAAACGAGACTCCGTTGGACAAAATCTAATTCGTGGTTATGATTGATGAACAATCGATGAGTTTGAATTTTCGACATTTGTCGCGAACACACACAGTCAATCCCGTAAGCATTCGTATCCTTCGTGTTCATTGAAGAAATTTGTCTAAATTAAATGACAGATGTTCGCGGGTAAATTGTTGTATATTTTTGTACGTTAGGAAAATGTTCACAAAACGTCAAACCTGTTACTTAATTTAGGCGAATTTCTTCAACAGACATACCGGGTACACTTATGAGACTGAATGTACACGAGAAACACGTGCTAAACGTACGCAAAATGAAATATTAATACGATAACCTCTATTCACGTTATTATTTCTGGTATTTTTATATACTATTTACTCGAGCTTTTTTTTTTTTTTTTTTGATTATTTGTCTTCCCTATAAATTATGGATTCGAGAGTGAATAAGAATGCATCAATCCAGATCGCGAAATAAAGAACAAGTCCATCTCGCGTTAACAGCCATTAAAATCGCCCATAAATTACCGATTAGTCCACCGGATCGTGGACGATTATCATAAAAGTAATTACAAAGTGACTGTCCGGCTCTCGATCCGCGAGATTCCGGTTTCGAACGGGAACGAGAGCGGTCGCGGCCGATGGAAACGAAAGCGAGAGGAGAGGTACGCGTAAAACGTGTAACGGTTTCGTTCGTAATCCATCGTAAGTGGATATGCGCGAGAAAACCAAAGTCCACGTCCATAAATTAGGCGTCCCGCCTTCTCTCCTTCCTGCTTGCGTTCTCCGCTCGGTTTCTGATACGTCGTTCGATGGAAACGGTCGTTTTACACGCGCATCTAAGCGTAACGATTGCACACGAGCGTGTGTGCGTGCTTTTATCATCGATCGCGTGCTCACGATTCCATGGAGAGAAGGTTCGTTATCGCGGGACTACGACGAGTTTCCGCTTGGGTCTAGTCTTAACTATCTCCAAAAAAAAAAAAAAAAAAAAGAAACTGTTGGGAGCGAGCTTGAAGAGGCTGAAGGATGCAGAGCAAAAGAAAACTGACATGGAGGATTCGTGAAAGCTTTTTAGGTGTTTCTCTCCGGTTGTGTTGATTTTTGGATATGTTTTAAAGGACCGAAAAATAAGACGTACGTATTTCTTTATATTGGCCCGTTTCCATATTTAGGGGGTGAAACGACCTCTGAAAGTTTCAGCTCCAATAGCCTGTTATTATAAGCAAATTGTTTTTTACAATATTTAGGGCCATGAAAATTTTACCTAAAATGTTTTCCTCTATCTGTGATAGTTTCGGTGATAGTCTATTGCATCTGAAACTTTACGGGGTCGTTTCACCCCCCAAAATATGGAAACAAGCTAAAATAAAGAAAATACGTATATTTTGTTTTTCGGTCCTTTAAAACATATCCGAAAATCGAAACAATCGAAGGCGGATACTTGAAAAGCTTTCCTTGTGAGTGAACGGATTAAACCAGAAGAGCTGGAAGATTGCAAACGCATTAGAAGGAAATTGAGGATTTTTGCGCGTCAAACGTCGTCCTCGTTCGTTCCTATTACGGACCTCCCGGAGAAGTTTACTCGTTCCACGACGTTATCGACGGCTTACAGATCGCCCGGGACGATAAAGTCGATTAACGCGATCCCCCCCCCGGTATGGCATAATGTTGCAATTAATATCTCCCTCTGGAGCGAAGGAGGAACTCGTTATGCAAGTAAATGGCACGCGAATTAATCGCGCCGGTTGCCATGCGACTAGACGATGAAGTACGACTGGGGGAGGCCAAGTGAGGGCGATTAGGGAGCAAAAACGAATCGTGGCTGAACTACGCTGGGAAAAATCGCGATCAACAGGCTTTGAAGAGGGGATTCGGCTTGGAGCAGGCTCCTGGCAATCTGTGCGCGTCATAGATCATTAACCCTTTGCAATCGAGAGGTGACTCTCAGTCACCATTAGGTTTCACGCAGCAAATCTGCAATACCTAATGTTTCTTTAAGCTTAATTTCTTTGGAGCTCGAAGTGTCGACAAGATGATTGTCGACGAGGTAAAGGCGACCTTATTCTCAAATCTAGATAGCTTAGAATTCATGGTAATAGAATGCTAAGAAACATCTCGAGTTGCTGAGAGATACCAGAAAAAAAGGCATCGAGTGCAAAGGGTTAAAGGCTGAATAAATATATAGTAAAAATTTGGAAGCTCTGTGTTTTTTCATTTCGCTATAAAAAATTCCGAAAAGACCTTAAAAAAAACGGCGGTCACACGGGATGACCCCCTTATTGTCCTAGGACAATGTCCTTATGGTATTTTGCAATCAAAGACCCTCCAAAAGTTCTTCCTTTGCGAACGGTACGATAACGATCCTTGTCTCCATTTCTATTCGATTATTCCCTCAAAGTTCAGCGTTCCGCGAGTGAAAACTCGAATAATCGAACGCGACGAAACGTCATTCGCGACGGCAACATGGAGTTAAGCTCGCTCTCGCTATGCCAGAAAGAAGTAAACGCCGTTGCGTGCAGGGGCGGCCCGTATTCACTCGGCTTGCGTCCGACCGGTAAATTACAGCCGATCGTTACTCAAACGAGGCAAACTACGTGGAGAAAAAGTAATCATCGACCCGGTACAACGTACGCCGTTCGAAAAGGGTGAAACGCGTTACGCCGACACGCGCACGCCGATTCCAACCTTCACGGCGATCGTTAATGTCTTCATTGGACGTTCCCGTTCCGCGGAAACGCAGAAAAATGTGTCGGCAAAAAAAAAGCAATTCCCCGTTCCAATTAATTAGGATTTCCTCCGTATAAATTGGGCCCGGAGAAACTCGAGCGCCCCGTATGGGCCTAACTAGCTTCATGAAAAGACATGAATCGCAGGAAATGTAACGAGCACGATGCCGCGGTATAAAACTTTCGAGAAATACGGAAATCGTCCGACGTGGATTACGTGCGTGGATTCTATGCATGAGGCCGCTGCCCGAATGATCTACGAGTGCGAATATTCCAGGGGACAGATTAAACCGGTACTCGATACCGTTGCGCCTGGAACGCGTAATGGAGTGTGACGAAAGTGGATCGAAATTCCCTGCTGGAATTTCGAAAATCACGCGCTTTTTCCATTCTGCTTGAAATCAAGCTACGACAGACGAGATCCATGAATTATAGTCCTTGAAGCATAAGGACGATGAGGCCTCGACACTTCACGCATTTCGAGCGTATTTATGAACGTTACAGGTTCCAGTAATTGTTTCAGCACAGTTTCGGTAACTGTGTCGTTGGAAGCGCTGATTTAGGAAGCCTCGATCAAGCCTTGGGCGTCTATAATCATCCTCTGGGAGCATTTGACGTTAAACGCACAAGGATATCAACCCTTTGCGCTCGAGGCCTTTTTTTCTGGTATCTATCAGGTTGTCCCGAAAGTTTCTTTCGCGAGTTGCACTCAATTATTTTATGTGCTCGTGTTTATATAAATAGACAATCTAATTTCATAGATATTCATGTTGTAACAGCAACGGAGCAAAATGAATCGTGCACGATTCAGTAACGTAACATAAAACATAAACTATTGTGCATGTATTACTTATTAATAAAGCGAAAGAAACTTTTGGGACAATCTAATACCAACAACTCTAGATGTTTCTTAGCATACTGTTGCCATGATTTCTGAGCCATCTAGATTTGAGAATAAGGTCACCTTTACCTCGCCGACGATCGTTTTATCGACACTTCGAGCTCCAAAGAAATTAAACTTAAAGGAACATTACGTATTGTAGATTTGCTGCGCGAACCCAGAGCTGGGCAAAACCCTAGGTTTCGAATAAATCTGAAGTTTGCCGGTGTTACACATATTTTTGCTTAAAAAAATTCAAAGTTGCAGTTAAAGTCTGAATAAATACATAGTAAACATTTGGATACTCTGTGTCTTTTCATTTCGTTATAAAAAATTCCGAATAAACCTTAAAAAAAAACGGCCGTCACACAGGATGACCCCCTTAAGAGGCGTTTAAAGACCTCTCTCCGACAATATAAACCACCGGCAGGAATAACGTATTCTCGTTCCCGTAGAATCGACACTTGGCTCCATCACGAGGAGTGATGAATTGCACCGCGCAGATAAAATAATCGATGTTTTTGCTAATGATTCCTCTCTCTTTACAGGAAAGAACGGGAAACGTTCGCGTTGAATCGCGTTGCGCAACGGTTCGGTTAGGCTCGATTCAGGCAAAGAATCAATTAAGTCAGCCCGAGATTACCGTAATTATTAACGACGACGGTGATCAGGATAATATTTATGATCCGTCCGCGAACAGAATGTGGCACAAACCGTCCGTTCACGCAACACCTGTTTCTTCGTTCGGTGTCCAATCGAATAATTGGCCTCCCTCGGCGATTATC